GGACAGGAGGTGCATGGGTGTCCAAGAAGCTGCAGAACTCTGAGGAAAGCATTATGACCATCCCTGTTAGGTGAGGATTTTCACTACCATAGCTGCAGAATTCTGCTTCCCTTGGAAGAAGACTCAGATTTGAATTTGGAGGTGGCTTCCAGGAGGAAAGTGCAGCAGTATGCAGCTTTGAAACGTGAGTCACCTGAATATTGGCTGGTGTTCCACCTCCTTCCTCCATTCCATAAGCCTGTGCTCTGCTGTCACAAGCACTTTATCAGTTGTGTGGCCTTGAGTGGAAGAACACAATCAAGTGGAGAGCACCTGGTCTCTTTTGGGTGGAGCCTGGAACACATTCAGTCTGAATTTGTGCAGCTTCCTTTTCAGTTGTTTGGTGAATCCCAGTCTTAGGCTTGCTCACTGTCTCAGAGTGAGATTTGAAACTTCTGTGACGATTTGTAAGGAAATGCCTGTTGAGTTATTCTGGTGTTACTGTCCACCTGGCAGGAGTCATCTTGACGTGTTTATGCACTTTAGAAATTTGATTTACATCTAATTTACCTTTTTTACTAAATACAGTGTCTTGAATATGATTGTGTGCTCTGGCAGCAAGGTTTCTGTAATCACAAACTGAGAACAAAAAGAAGCCTCCTTTGTAATTTGCCACATTAGTTTTTTGAATTAAAAAAACTAACCCATAAATCCATCCAGTTAACTCAAGTTTAATCTGTGAATTGGAACTAGAGACATCTCACATTTGTTGCTTAATTTGTAAAAAACCCTGAGTTTCACTTTAAGGCTCTCCTCTTCCATTCATGCCCTGTGAGTATTGAAGGTGATCTGTATCCTAGCTAACTTCCTTAAGTATTCCTCAAGCTGGAGGCTGGAACCTGCCCATTTGAAAGATGTGTTTTTTCCTTTTCTTCTCTGTTTCCAAATAGCTCAAAGCATTTGCTGTTGCAGACCACAAATCCACATGGACTTGATTATTTTAAACCTTAATTTGAGTCTTAAATGTGTAAGGTTTAAATGTAGACTCTCCAATGTAACCATAAGGCGTACGTGTAAGTGATTTACATTTGTAGGACTCAGAACTGTTTGAGTGAATGATGGAAAGTTGTCTGTGCTGCATCACTCACTTGTGTGTGTGAAAAACAATACTCACTTTAAAAAACTTTAAAAAGTTTATTAAAACCTTATCCAAAATACAACAGAAGACTGAATAGAGAAAGTATTACAGCACCAGGAGCAGAGGCTCTCTCCCAGCATGTGCTCATCCACACAATGGAGGTTTCACCTTTTAACCCTTTAGCCCTTCCCAAAGTTCTGTCCATGGACTCCTTCTTTGCTGTCCAGTGGTGGAGTTCACTTCCTCAAATCTGGGTTGGAGGTCAGGTGCTGCCATAGTGACAAGCTGACCATCCCAAATGTCCCAAACCAGGCCACTCCCAATAATAACACAAGGGGAGGTGAAACATAACTATAAATCTATAAAACTTCTCTTAACATATAGACATGATATTTGCCTTTTAATGGTGAGAGTCAACCATCACATTACTCACCTATCACATGAGTTTCTTACAGCGTTGGCTCTTGTAGAGGTTTGATGTCACAAATTATTAAGTCAGACTTGTATTTTATTGTTTTCTTACTCCCTACTGTCTTTTCTTGCCCTACATCTGCTTTTGATAAATTCTAGGTATAGGTATCTTAAGAAATTGGAAAGGGAGTGTATGATTATAAATTAGGAATTTTTTCTTGTGGGAAAGCAGATGTAGCAAATGATGGTTTAAGAGGTTATGAAAAAAATCTTACAGCTGGCTGGCACCAAGTAGGGATGCAGCTTGTGTTAGTCTTAGCTTACAGTACATGGATTGCACCTTTAATGTACCCAACTGTTTTCTAAACTGTTCAAAGGAAGGGAGAGTGTTTTGTGTCTTCTTAATCTCTCCCATCTCAGAAAGCTGGTGCTGTAGGAATGGAGGTAGAACAGCAGCCTTGTGGATCTCCACCTTCAATCAGTCAGGATGCTCAAGAATTGAAATGTCTGCTTTGCTTTCCAGTCTTTCCCAGGCAGCAGCATGGACCTGGCCTGATGTTGGACAATTGCAGAGCAGCTCTCAGGGCCCCAAGCAACAGCAGTAAATCTGTCAGTCAGCACGTTCCAGTTGCTCTGCTCCTGGCTGACAATGGCTGTGAGCTGCTGCAGACACTGAGTGACAACACTGTTGGCTAAACTATCCCTTTAAAAAGGCTGGAGTTTCTGCTGTAACTGGCTTGGCTTTCCCAATTGCTGGAGGAAATTTGGTAGCAGGCCAGTGGCCTCTTCAAGTCCTCAATTAGCTTTAAAGTGCTATGGAAGTGCTATTTTTAATAAAGTACTTTAAAAAATTAAGTCTTGGACAACGTAGGAAGAATCCCAGATTGGCTGATGGCATGTAGGTGATGTAATCAGTTGGTTTATGGTTGACAGTTTTTAAAGCAAGCAGGATTGTGCTCAAAGCACAGCTTGTGCTGACTAAGCTGTAGCATTGGACCTGCATTTAGCCTAGAAATGGAAACAAGATGTGGTCAGTCAGGGTTGAAGTTTCTCTCCGTTAACGTTTTAATCCAGATTTATGGCCTCAGCTTGCTGATCTCCATTGTGCAATCATAATTGCTTCCACCTAAGTCTGCTTATGCTGAAGTGATACACAAAATTTCCATATTGCTGTTCTTAATAGCTTAGTTTGTATTCCCCTTGTTGGATGACCAAAGATTTCCATGTAGAGGCTTTTTATTTTTGGCTGAGATAAAAATTCTGTTGATGGTTGCTGCTTTTGTGACATGAAGTCCCTAAAATTTTCATCTTGTAAGATTTAACTTTGGATGTGGTCATGTTACCATTTTGAATTTCTTGGAACAACAGTGGATGTACTGGGATTGAGTCAACCAATATCAGTAATTTTTCTGTCTTGCAGTGTAAATGGCCCTATTTGGCATCAAGGCGGCAAAGTTTAACTCTGCAAGGAATGAGTGGATGATGCTTGGTTTAAAAGAAATACATTTCTTATTAAAACCAGATTTTATTGCTGAATTATTTTCTATAGCAGTTTTTATATGTCAGAAATTTATATTTGGATACTGATTCACCAGTTGAACAAGTATTTGACTATATGTATTGTTTTGAGAAGTCAGTCTCTGTAGATGTTTGTCCCTTGTTCTTTGAGCATGCACAGGAGAACTTAGTTACTACACAACTGGTAGGTTGTTAATGAGTGTTGATCAAATCACTGTGAGGAACTCACATGGCAAATGACCTTTCTAATAATTTCTCCATTATGTAAGTACTCTTTCAACAAGTAGAACACATTCCAGGAGGTTTTGCTGCCTAAATGGAGCGCTGTGAAAACTTGTAAGACTATCTCATGATCACCCAATGGACTAAATCAAGAATGTTCTTCCAGTTTAACACTGGAAGAACATTCTTGATAAAGAGGAGAGGGAAATGTCATTCAATTATTACTCTTTACCAAAAAGTTTTATCTTGGGTAAGGCTTTCCTATATATAGAAGGAAAACACTCCAGACTTTTGGAAAGAGTCAAATTGGAAAGTGTGGTAGTGGATGACATGGCAGCAGAGCTGTCAGCAATGCTTAGGATGGTCAGCAAACCTTGGCTTTGACCTGTGTAACCACATGTTCTGTAGCCAACAGCCTTGGGATGCATTCACAGAGGTGAGAGGTGTAAGGAGTAGTTCCCAGTAGGATCAGGGTTTCCAGGAGGTCTCAGTTCTACATTAGGTGTGTTTAGACCAAGCCCTTGGGTGATGCAGGACTGTTGGTCTGAGCAGTTTTAGCCCCCTCCCACCCCCTCAGCAGCCAGCACAGCAGTGTTTCTTCATATGGGATGGCCCCTGAACAGCTCTGTGGCTGCTGGTGCTATGGCAGTTTGAGAAACTCAAGGGAAACCAAAGAAATTACTTAAACTTTTGCTTTAAATTATGCTATTACTGGTGTATAGGAGAAGCAGCAGTGTGAAGGAGCTAAAGGCATCTGGTGACTTAAGTGTATTCATTTAAAACTGTAACATGTAAAAGTTCTAAATCACAAGACCTTGTTTATTAATATTACTAGCACTGTTTGTTTCCATGTAAAACTCCCCTTTTTGTAATAAATACAGTAATTTCTACTCTGTGTTAATTTTAAGAAAGATGTTAATGTCTCTCTTAGGCCTGTTTTTGCTATCTATCTTTTTCCTCTGCCTGTTTTTTTTTCCCAATAAATATGGCAAATAATTGGTATTCTCTTTTCACCCTGAGGCCAGGGCTAACAATCAGTAACACATCATTATAATCTTTCAATATTTTCAAACGTGATTCAGTTAAGAAACCTGTGTTTTTGCTACAGAAGGACCCATGGCATAGTGGGAGATACTGAAGAATGTTTCGTGTTCTTGGCTGGGGAGCTGTGTGTTAGCTAAAGGATACTTGCACTTTTTCTAAAGCTGGCCTGTGTTAACAATGCTTGTGTGTATCTATATTTCACGTTAATGGTGATTTAGCTTAAGTGAGGTACCTGTAATTGCCTGCTCTCTCACCTGCAGCCTGATCTATCTGTTGAAGTGAAAAATTGAAGAGGTTTTGATACTGGATTGAATTTAAGGACTTGACTGTTTTCTTCATAAACTATGCAGGTTGTCACAGAATGGTTTGGGGTTGTGGGAGCTTAAAGCTCATCCAGTTCTAGCACCTTGCACCTAGACCAGGTTGCTCCAAGCCCTGTCCAACCCAGCCTTGAACACTTCCAAGGATGGGGCAGCCACAGCTTCTCTGGGCAGCCTGTGCCAGGGCCTCACCACTCTCACAGGGAGCAATTTCTGCCCAATGTCCCATCTAACCCTGCCTTCCTTGTGCATCCTATTTGGTATTTTGAAATGGAAGCTGGCAGTCTGAGCTTGCATTCCTGTTGCTGGTTTTGAGGTGTTTGCACATGTGGGGAACCTTTATCACAGCTGTAACTTTTTCCTTGCAGGCTCCACAGAGCTCAGTGTGCAATTAAACAGACTCAGGTAACTGTTCAGAAAATAGGAAGGGAGATTGAAGAAAAGCTGAGATGTACATCTACAAGGAATGAACTGGTATGTTTGATTTATTAAAACCTTAATTTATGGGCTTGCTGAAGCATCTGACTGATGTCTTGACTGTAAGCTTTTATTTTTAACACTTGAACTGGGAATCTTTCTTTACACCTGTCATTTTAAATGGGAATTCATCTGAGAACTGTGTAATATCATCAGTTTGAGTTGTGTGAGGTACTCAGATGGATTGATAAATCAGTTATCCTGTTTTTACCTTTATTTTGTACAATCATGCTATCAAAGCATAAACATTGCACAAAAGAGGTCTTAGAGGAAAAACAAACTTCTAATGATTTATATGAAACTTGACAGGAACCTGTGGTGGATTTAGAGTGGGGTGAGTCTATTGGCTGTACCTTCTTGCACCCTGACTCCCTTTGGATGAACAGAGTTCATGCAAATGCTGTCATTCAAGTGACACATTCATTTTAAACAGAAACTGTACTAGATCTTACAATGGCTTTTGACATTTGGTTTTGCCTGCTGGCTTCCCCTCCCCTCCCCAGAGAAATTTGTTGACATTAGTTCCTGCTTTCTGCCCAGGAAAGCTAATCTTGGTTCAAAGATGAATTGACAGGAGTGGTTTGTGGTGCCTTCATTATGTTGGTACTCAGTGGTGTGTGTTTGGTGCCTTGTAAAGGACACATTTGGAGTGTGGTGTTAATTTATTGCTCTAAAGCAGATCCTGAGTTGAGAGTACTCAGCTAAGTTCCAAAAGTGTCAAACTGGTTCAAGGATTTGACAAAATGGGAAAAAAAGGAGATTGTTTACCCAATTACCCTTGTAATTACAGGGGTTACACTGTGGATGAAGAGGTGAAGAAGTCGCCTTCTATACGGGGCAATGTAAAATCTCTTGTGAATCATTCCAACCCAGAGCTTCTTTGCCTTCTGGTATCTTGACTGCTTAACCATTACCTTTTCAGTTATGGAGACGCTTGTTCCTCCTTACAAAGGCTTTTAATTTTTAAATATCTGAGAGCAAAACTATATCAAACAATACTAGTATGTTTTTGGCTGGAAGGAACCTTAAAGCTCATCCAGTTCCAAACCCCTGCCATAGGCAGGCATACCTTCCATTAGACAAGGCTGTTCCAAGCCCTGTCCAACCTGGCCTTGAACACTTCCAGGCATGGGGCAGCCACAGTTTCTGTGGGCAACTTGTGTCAGGGCCTCCTTACCCTCACAACCAAGAATTTCATTCCCAACATCCCATCTAACACCACTCTCTGGCAGTGGGAAGCCATTTCCCCATGTCCTGTAATTTCAGGTCCTTGTCCAAACTCCCTCTCCAGCTCTCTTGGACAACTGGGGCTCTAAGGTCTCCCTGGAGCCTTTTCTGTTCTCCAGGCTGAACACTGTCTCAGCTTATTCTTTGTATCCTCTTATTCTCATCATCCTGAACTGGGAATTTAATCTAACAGTGCAGCTTGAATATCTTCAGCCTTTTTCCAGATCCTGCCTTCCCTTTGTATAGATTTCTTACTGCTCACCTTCCCTCTTGCTGGTGAGCCCTTTGCCAGGAATGAATGCTCATCCTGCTGCTAGTGCTGTGCTGTCAGTTTTTATGTCCTGGTGAAGCACTGTTCTTAGTTTTTGGTCTGGACTCAAGAGAGATGCATCCCACAGGAGGATCAAGCACTGTGACACACAGCTGCATTGCTTTCCTTCCAAAGCAGCAAAATTATTAGTCTTTGGGAATCTGTTGCCTGTGGTAATCTTTGAACTCCATTCCTAGGCAGGGGCTAGTCTTGTTCTGTTTTTTCATTCTCTCCTGCCACCTTTTTATGGAACTGTTTCTGTGCAGAGAAACTTTTTTTTTTTTAAAATCTGTATTTCTTCCCATAGAAAAAGGAGAGTGAATGTTTACAGTTGAAGATCCTGGTGCTGCGTAATGAACTGGAGCGACAGAAGAAGGCCCTTGGTCAAGAAGTAGCCTTGTTGCACAAGCAAAAAAGTACTTTGCTTGACAGAGGTGAGTGTAGAAACCTTAGCCTAGTTTGACCAGAATGAAAGTGCTGGTTTCTTTTCTATTTTCATTGTCTGGCTGTAATGTGCTGCTTGTGTTTTTCTGTGTTGGAAATTTGCAGCCAGGTGTTATTTCTTCACTCTATATTATACTGAATTTTAGACAGCAGTTTCTGGTATCTTGTCTCTAAATAACTTCTTACTATGACACCTCTCCAAAGCAATGTTAAATCTGTGTTTAATTGACATTTTTTGAGAACATCAGAAGAACTGCAGTATACTACAGTAAACATTGCCATCATAAAGGAACTTCATGTCATGAAGGGTGTTTCTGTACCTGTGATTTGGATTTAGTTTTAAGCATTAGAAGACAAAAATCCCCTCTTAATATTTTAATATGTAAGTGATATATGAAATACTCATCTTGGTATCATCCTTTACCAGGCAAGTCTCCTATAGTTAAATGTTGTATTACTGCCTCTTCAGAGCTCACCAAGGCCAAACTATACCCATAATTGATTTTGTTGCAGGAATTTTTGTTTCAATACTTAGTTGAGTCTGAAATAATTAGTTACTACTAAAAAGGATGGTTTTTACCATGTACTTTTTTCTGGCTGTGCAAGTATTGAGATCCCATCATTGGATTACTGCACTGTGTGGTTGTGAGAGGAACAGGTATTAAAGGAAGATGAAATCTGATGGGTTGTGTTTGGCTGGTGAATGGTGTGTAGTGCATGAAGACAGGTGTTCCTCCTGTGCTGTCTGACATTCTCTAGTTTGGGAGCATAATATGGAAAATGGAAGGGTAAGAATAAGTGGAGGATTATTGCCAACATTTTGTCAGTATCTACTTTTAAAACTTTGGATAACTAAGAAAATATTTATACTATTTTTTTTTTCTGATTTCTCCTATTGGTTAGAAAATGCATTTGGGACTGAATACCAGAAACTTGAAGAGCATAATGAATCTCTGTATGAATCAAGAAAGGAATGCACTGCTAAGAGGTAAAAGGATCTATGTTTGTTCTGTAACTGGAAAAAAAAGATAAGCTTGAGAGCAAGCCATTGAAAATGGGACTTCTGGCACCAAGTTCTTCTCATGTTGCCCTAAAACTTCTGTTAAGATATCCCTGCTACAATTTGTAGATATCTAAAGTAATTACCAGTGGCAAGTCTAGAAGAGAAGAAAACTAATGCTTGGTTATATGTGTAGACTCTGATAGGAATTTCAGGTGTGTTTTAGTGTAACACAGCTTTGTAATACCTGATTCTTGTAGTCAGAATATGTCCATAGTGTATGGTATGCATGAAGACAGAAATTAGCTTTGCGTGCTGTATTTTTTTTTTGGGTGGATTTACATAACTTTTTGGAGGATAGGAGATGAAAATTGGAAAGCTGCAGAAGGGATATGACAACTTGATACCTTTATTTGGAGCTTTTGAAGAAAATAATAGTTTTGGAATCTCTTTCCCCAAAGAGAACAGTTTTTGAAGATAAATGCCCAGCAGACTATTCGATGCAAGCAGCTGCTGTCGGAGCTATCCTACATCTACCCTATTGATTTGGTATGTTTTCAACATCCTGATAGTCTGCTCAATGTGAAATGTAGTTCTTACTTATTACACTGCAAACAAATATTATGCTTTACTTGTGACAGGATCTGCTCTTTGCTCATTCTGTTTATTTCAGCTTTTTCTTACATTTGGTCTTTAGATTGCAAACTTTACAGGGAGGGAACTTAGGCCAGCACCTCTTACACAGTGTCCTCCATGAAAATAGAATAGCTATAATTTAATGGATGTTTTCCATTTTGTGTACAGTTCTATAAACTAACCCTGACAGTAGGCTAGCTGAGTGCACAGAAACATGTTAAAATGTTGAGATTAAAAATCTCCTATATAATGAATTAATATAAAGTTCTTCACTCTTTAAAAAAGTTGTATTTCTTTTCTGAACTGTGTGAGATATGGATTAAAATACTCTGTCAGTCACTTTAAATTTAGTTGAATATTTAGGTTTTTTATTTTTATTTTATTGTTTGTTAGCCTGGTTGTCGTGTTGTATGCAGGTTTTGGTGTTCTGGATGTTATTGTTTTATGCTCACTTTCCACTCTTGGTGTTAAATTTACAGAACAACCAAAAGGATTACTTTGTTTGTGGAGTCAAGCTTCCTAATTCTGAAGACTTTCAAGGTAGCTGCATATTCTTAATGTAGTTGTTACAGTTCACACTGCTTCTAAACTTTGTAAAATTAAGAAAACTGGTAGCAATAGCTTGGGGTCCAAATTTTTGACCAGAAAGATAGAGACTAGAAAAAAAAGGAAGAATTATTTGTTGGTACTTCCTAGCTAAAGCAAAGGAGGCTCCTTTTGACTCTTAGAAAAGTACCTGTGTGTTCTAAGACTGCATATTGAAACACTGGGAGAGGTTACCCAGAGAGGCAGCAAAGTCTCCATTCTTGGGGATGCTCAGAACCCAGCTGGACACAGTCCTAGGAACAGCCTGCTCTGAGCCCGGAGTGAAGTGCTTTCCAAACTCGGTGATTCTGGAAAATATTGGTGTCTGACCTAGAATTCCACTGGGGGTACTCTTAGTCCATAAGTCTCGGTGGGGCAACAGGCATGAATCCCCATTTGGTTTGCTGTAGTTGCTGGTGAACTTGCCAAATAAATACCTTGCAAAAAAATACTTTGAACATCTCTGACAGTATGGAGTACTTTACAAATGACCTTCTACTTCAACTGTCAACCCTCATCCTATTCCATAAACAAATATATCATATACCTGCCTGTATAACAGTTGTACAGGTAACTGCATGCATTCATCTATAAATGTTTAATGTGAACTGGAAATCCATTAAAATTTTCTTGAGGATTTCTTGCCCCCACTACCTGTTCACTCTGGTTTATTGAGCAAAAACCTCCATCAGTTGTCTGACTCTATAAAGCCACACCATAGTAATTAACTTGTCCTAATAATATGTATATTGGATGCTTGAATATTGGAGGAATAATCTTTAAAAAAAATAAATTTGTCAGTAGGACAAAAATCAGTCTATTGCTTTGTTTCCCTGATTGCACTAAATGTGGTAATGAACTCAGCTTGCTAACTCTTGAGGAATGAGTGGTGTGCCATCTTCTGGCCCAGTTTCACTTTCCTGGTATTAATTCATTGCAAAAGAATTACTAATTCTTTATCCAAGTCTTTAGAAGAATTGTATTGTGAGGAAGAAATACTAAGCATTCAATTTAACGAAATAGGCAGTTAAATTTGAAACCCAGCTGTCTGGCATGGATCTTATCTCAGACCCAGTAGATACCATCTTTTAAAAAATTAGGTGTCAAAATAATCCAGAAAACCAGTTTTGCTGCAAATTTTGAACCTTTTCTACAAAATCCAATCCATTTTGACAGGGGTGTAACTTAGATACACACATCATGACAGGCTTTGATAGATCTCAGTATGGATGCTGAGTATCATTATAAGCTTTGTTGAAGGTCCTCTGTTCAGCTGGTTTCATGGATGCATCAGAAGGGATGACTTGTGCTGCCTGTATCCCTTAAAAATAATTAAAAAGTGAGAAAAGAGAAAGGAAAAGCCTTTAAATGGCTAAAAGATGTAGTTTCCATTGCAAGGTCTATGTGTATTCCTATCAGGTGAAGCTTTAAGGTTGAAACTTTAACTGTCAAATTGAAAATGATACTTGAAAGCAATGGATTAATCTGAGTTTTTCCAGCTATTGGCAGAGAACAGAGTTCATAGCTTGGGGTCAGTGTCTCTCCAAGTGATCTCACTTGTGAATAAAGTTGAGGAGGAATGCAGCTTTCTCCAGATCCCACTCACACGTGTGAGTTCCATCTAGAGAAATGCAGAAATCTTAATACTTGTGTTTTGTCTTGTGAATTTTGTTTCACTTTTCCCAGCTCTTCTTCACCCTCCCCCATCCTGGCAGTGTAGCTTTGAAAATAAAATTTACAGGAAAACAAGCCATCACCAGTTTTCTGTGTCTCATTGCAAGAAGCAAACACAACACAGTGAAGTGCAAACACTTGTAAAGCTGTCCAAAGTGACACCAGGTCTCCTGTCCTTGAGTTCTTACTTCTGAGAGCTACAGTAATTGTTCTCTGAGAATAAAGATGAATATTAGGATTCAGTGGATCCAATTAATAATGGCATCTTTTTGTCATTGACAGCAAAAGATGATGGAAGCATTGCTGTTGCCCTGGGCTATACTGCTCACCTAATTTCCATGATCTCCTTCTTCTTACAAGTGCCACTCAGGTATCCCATCATTCACAAGGGCTCCCGGTCCACAATCAAAGACAATATAAACGACAAGCTGACGGAAAAAGAGCGAGAGTGAGTATTTTGTAAATACACTGATCTACTGTCTTCAACAAATGAACACCAAAAAACCCCATTTTAAACAGTTTGGGGCAGTCTGAGGTGATAAGGAATTTGAAATTACTTGTTACTGCTTTCAGTAGCTGTGGAATAGTCATTGGGTTTCTCTTGTTGGAATTTTTGGATACAATAAAGTAACTCAGCTTTGTTATTCTGGGTCTGTTGGCACATATATGGCTTTGATTTGGCATCCAGTAATGCTAGAAAGACCTAAATAGAGTTTCTTAGTGTTTTATGAGTTTTGGTTTCTATTTGGACAACTTGCCTTTTATGTTTTGCTACGGGCTAGGGGAATAAACTGCAGGATAGCAAGTGTAGTTTCACTGGGGAGGTGCTGCCAGTGCCCTAATAGTGGTTAATAAATAGGGGAAAACAAGTTGCTTTGTTTTAACACTGAGTTTTTTAATCAATTGAAAAAGCACAGTAGCCTGCCACCTACTATAAATCAACTGAATATTCAATGTAGAGATCTTTAAATTCACTCTCTGAGTGTCTTCTCCTGTGTTTTGGAACTTTGTTTATTTTCCCACTGTCTTGGTACCTGTGTGCTCTCACATGAAATTAGTGGCAATTACTGGTTAAGGTTCCCTTTGTAGCCTGAAACCACTGAACTGCCAGGAATGCAACACTGACCATTGGTGGGAGGCCAAACTGCTCTGTTCAGATTCTGGGCGCTGGCAAAGTTTGCCCAGAGGCTTTATGGACTCACCATCCCTGGAAGTTTTCAAGGCCAGGTTGGGTTGGGCTTGGAGCAACCTGGTCTAGCTGAAGGTGTCCCTGCCCTGGCAGGTGGCTGGAATGAGATGAGATTGAAGTCCCTTACAGCTCAGGAATTCTGTGACCCTGGATGTGTGTATGGATGGCTACAGTCAGGCTTGCAGCATCAATAACTTCATTTTTCCACAATAGTTTGAAAAGGGAGCAAAGGAAATGACAGGGGAAATGAATTTGTGGGAAGTAGCCTGACTCTATTGACAGGTAGCTGTGAAGAAACAAATTCTTCTCTTTGGAAATATGCTGTCAAAGTATTACAACATTTTAACACTAATTCCTCATAATTTAATAAAGATGGAAGGGTTTTATTGTGCCTAGTTGTCAGAATTTGGATGCTTGAAAGTGTCTGATTTCTCTTTGAAGGTTAGTGACTTTAGGCAGGACGGGCAAGGTAATTTGCCTTAAGGTTTAAACTTGTCTTCCTGTTGTGACACCATAAAACAAAACTATATAATTATGTCTTGCAAAGTAATTTTGATACCATTTTAATAACTTGTCCAAACACACTTCTGGTACCTTAATAGAGCATTGACCTGTTTTGCCTCAGTGTAGTTCTTGAAGCAGATGATCATACTCCTTCCTGAACATCACTTCAAGAAGAGCTGCAAACTAGAACATCTCTATCTTGAAAACAAATTTCTGAGTAGTGGAGTAGTGGAGCTCCTTGTGTGTGGGTGTGTAAAGATTAATTCAATTTCTTGTTCTCTCATACAGATTAGAAGGTTTAGTCCTTCATGCTGCAGCCTTCCAAACTCTTGTGACTTAATACTTGATTTCACAACAGATTTCTGAAAAGGAGAGATTTTATCTAAGTAAATTTATCTCTGTTGGGCTATTTACCTGTGTTGTGCAAGATTTTTTCAGAATTAGCTCCTGCTGGAGATCTTCTCTTCCCAGCTATTGGAGAAACAATCCTCCAATAAAAACCATCTCCAAGGTTTTATGTCAAATTGCAGTTATCTTTCTAAACTAATAGATCATGTTTCTCCCTTGCTCCTAATTGTGTTGAGCACAGCAGTTAGCATACATTATTAGATTTTTTTTATGTCAGTTACCTGTCCTTTAGCAGCTTTTCAAACTCAAACATAAATTGTTGAGTAATTGCAGTGATGTAATCCCTGTATTTGATCTTTACTATAACTCATAGCGTCCTTATTGTTGACTAGCTTATACTTACATACTTGGCTTTTTTTTTTTTTTTTTTTTTCATTGCAGGGTGTTGGAGGCTAGGATTTTTCCTTTTTTTTTTCCTTTCTCAGGAAATTTTTCTCTCATTTGTTGTCTAAGAGATGGGAAGGACAGAAAGATAAAAGAGACTAAAGATGTGGCCAGGGCTGGGGACAGGGCACAGTTTGCTTCTGTCTCTTAGCTGGGAGGTTTTATCTTGGAAAATGCAGGGATGCTGGGAATTAGGGGCTGGGCTGAGCTCTCACTCTCTCTCAAGAGCAGGATTGTGCTGCTGGCTGTGGCAGTAACTGCACTGAAGGGGAGAGTGCTCAATGGCCAAGAGAAGGCTGTGGTTCTGTTTCTGTTTTTATTTTGTTGTTGCTGCCATTGTTGTTGTTTGTTTGTCTTGTTATACATATATATATTTGTAAAGCCCTGTTATTCTTTTTCCCATATCTTTGCCTGAAAGCCCTGTAATTTCAAAGTTACCATAATTTGGAGGGAAGGGGTTCATGTTTTCCATCCCAGTAAGGTTCCCACTTTCCTTGGCAGGCACTTGTCCTTTAAGCCAAGACACTGGGTTTCTCTGAGATCCTTATTAGGATCCTTCTAGATTTTCTAGAAATTTTTTGTTGGGCGAAATAGCTGAGGTTTTTGCTCAAGAGCAAATTCATAATTACAGATGTTTGTTTTTAAAGTCATACTGTATAAAGATGTTAATACACTTTCAAGTTTCTTTACTGACTTTTCTAAGCCCTCCTGTTGAGCTGGTTAAATATTTTAAGAGCTTTCAGAATGTCAGTAACTTCTGGAAAATGCTTCATCTGCTTCAGATTGGTTTACTTGCATGATCCAGGTCACTTCTATGAGGACCTTGAGAATTTACAGTTTTTTTCTGTTACAATAACTGTTACATTGGGACTTTGAAGTAGGAGGTTGTGGTGAGAACTTAGCTCTTGTCTGGCCATAGAATGAACTTAGAATGAAGTACAGATTGACTACCAGTAGCATATAGTATATGGTCAGCCTTGTAATTGTAGAGATATTAGTGTTTGTAATCTGTTGAATAACTGTTTCTTTTGTGTGTTCCAAAAGCTGATTTTGGTTCTACCAAAAAGCTCTAAGTTTTCTCCAATGATGTCTACTTTTATGACTTTTTGAATTACCATGTAAAGGCAAGAATCTGATTTTAACAAAATTTCCCATTAACTCACTTCTTCAGTGGTCCCTTTCAGCATCTCCAGAATGCATGCAATATGTAGGAAGAAAGAATTCTCAGAAGTTCTGGAGTCTGAAAGATTTCAAAGCAATGAGTGCACTTTGAGTCAGTTTGCAGAGGGCGCCTGTAGGATCATCGGGGGATAGGACGGTCGGGACGGACGGAGACGAGAGATCTCTGCAGCCAGGTCGTGGAACTTGTGGTTTATTGCAAAGGGCCTGGGTGCAGGGCCCTGCTGGGAGCTGCCAGCCACAGCTCAGGGCAGGCCTGAGAGAAGAGAGGGGGAGAGAGGATGAGAAGGTAAGAGAGTAAGGGAGTAAAAGGGGTAAGAGAGCGACATTCCCGTCACAATACAATAAATCTTCTTTTGTGTTGAATATTCTAATTCTCACTAACTAATCTAGTACAATATACAAATCCTATAGCATTTACATATAGCCTATAAGAATCATTACATCACCATTCTGTGTTACATTTTAAACCCTAAAAACTATTCTTTGGACTTAAACCCCTTCTTCTAAGCTAGTAGGGTCTGCTCTGAGCCTTGGACCTGTCTGCAGGCAGAGGGAATTGTTTCATCAGAAGGGGATTACCTTCAGTTGGACCACACCATTGTTTTCCAGTTGTTCAGTAACTAAGGGATCTCAAAGCTTGCTTTCATTTCAATCTTGCTTATAGTTTCTGTATTCTCAAAATCTTTTGCCAGACAATCATATTTATAAGGCTTTCCTGTTCCATCTTCCCCAACAGACGCCATGTTTGGCAGGCATGTTGACCTGCTAGATGGGGCAGGAAAACTCTGCAGAATGATCTGGGCAGGCAGCATTGATGGGACAAGGCCAGTTGTATGAGGTTCAACAAGGCCAAGGGTTGTATCCTACCCTTGGGTCACCACAACCCCATGGAATGCTGCAGGCTTGGGGCAAAGTGGCTGGAAAGCTGGGAAGGGCTCTGGGGGTGCTGATCAGCCATGGCTGAACATGAGCCCAGGTGTTCCCAGGTGATCAGGAGGCCAATGGCACAGGCCCAGGGCAGTGACTGTCCCCCTGTGCTGGGCACTGGTGAGGCACTTCCAATCCTCTCTGCCTTTCAGCAAGACAGACATTGAGGAGCTGGAGCATGCCCAGAGGTGGAGATGGAGTTGGGGAAGGGTCTGGTGCACCAGGAGAGACTGAAAGAGTTGGCAGAGCTCAGGCTGGAGAAGAGGAGGCTCCCACCCTTCTCAGAGGGGACCTTTTCACTTTCTACAACTCCACAGGAGTGTGGAGCCACGTGGGGGGGGTTTCTGTTCCCAGGTAACAAGTGACAGGATGAGAGGAAACAGCCTCAAGTTGTGCCAGAGAAGTTTTAGGTTGGATGTTAGGAAACATTTCTTCCCTGAAAATGTTGTCCAGCCCTGGTCCAGCCTGGTACAGTGGTGGAGTCAATATCCCTGGAGGGGTTTAAAAGCCATGTGCATGTGGCACTTGAAACATGGGTTAGTGGTGGCCTTGGCAGTGCTGGGTGAGTGGTTGGATTTGGGATGTTCTTAAAGAACTTCAATGATTCTGTGATTCTATGGGCATGTAACTCCAAATTGAAGCTACTTAGACAGCAGCATGTCCCTCTCTGCAGTGATGAACAAGTTTGCTTGCAGAATAAATCACCCAAATTCTTTGGCAGTGTTCTGGTGGAACTGAAACCTAACACTTCATCACATCCTCAATAACAGGGTGAGAATGCTAAGATGAAACTATTTCTGATATGTTCTGAGACTGTGTTTCTCAAGCCCTGTATTTAATGCTTCTGTTAGTCT